GGCTCCCTGCTCAGCGGGAAGCCTGCTTCTCCCTCTCCCACTCCCCCTGCTTGTGTTCCCTCTCTCGCTGTCTCTGTCAAATAAATAAAATCTTTAAAAAAAATGTTAGAAATAGCAATAAGTACTCAACATTCTTGTTAAGAACATTATTTTTATAATCAGGAACATTAACACGTGCTCATTGTACAAAAATATTAGAATAGTATAAAGACGGGAAAAACTCTTAAATCTCTTGTTTCAGTATTTTAGGAAGTAAGCCTTTTAGCAATCTTGTTGTCTTCCTTTTTCTCTGTTTCAGGATCTTCTGTAGTTCTGTGGGTGCATGAGAAATGGCGGAGTTAGGGAGGGCGCCCTGTGCGCGGGGCCCCTGCCCGGGTCTTCTCTCCGTCTCTGCATCTCTGGCCATGCCGGCACTGCCCTTTACAGTCCGGTGTTTGTCTGGTCCTGGTTCTCAGTGTTTTGCGTTCAGTCATTCACTTAATTCCCACGTGAGCCTATGCGTTAGTTGCTTTTAGATATCCTGATTTAGTCCCTGAGGAAACTAGGGTCAGACGACCTGATTTGCCCAGGGGTTACGTACGGCTAGTGTGGACTCACCTTTTAGAAAGTTTAGTGGTCTTTTCTCCCTTTATCTTACACGTGCTTATTATCAGTCAGCATAGGCTACGTGGTAACAAACAATCCCAAAAGCTTAGTGGCTTAATCCAGGAAAAGATGTATTTCTTGCTCCTACTGCATGTTCAGCTGGGGCCAAGGGCGTTGGGGACATCCTGCTTATTATTCTGGTCACTCGAGGCCCCAGGCTGCTGAAGGCCACCCTGCAGTCTGTGCTTACGCTGGGATGGGGGCGGGGAGGATGGTGCAGGGGCGCTCGAAGCGCTGGTCTGCGGGGGACACCTGGCCTTCAGATGTCCACTCAGTTTCACTGGCCAGAGCATAGGGGTCTGCGGCCGCAGCTTCCCTGCAGAACAGGTTGCCCCCCTGTGTTGGAGCCACCATGTGCTGGAGTGATCTGCTGAATGGGAGCAGCCATTTCCACAGTGAATAGACTTAACAGCAGAGTTAACATCTGGCGTGTTCCCTGTTTGCCAGGTGCTGGGCTGAGAGCTTCCTGTACAGATGTTCATTCAGTCTTCCCTGCAGCCCGGTGAGGTTTGTCTTCCTCTCCAAGTGATAACATGAAGGCCTGGAAAGCTTTTCCCATTGCAGCTTAGTACTTTGACAAATTTTGAAACCTACACTTAGTTGGAAGACTAAGCAAAGGAACAACTGTATATCTTATGTGAGGGTTACTTGCTAATATTTTGCTACACATGTGTTCTTGCCCCCCCCCCCACTTTTTGTTTTTAACAGAGCCATTTAAATAAAGTAAGTTGCTGACACTTTATCCCTGAATTCTTTATTTTATTTTTTAAAGATTTTATTTATTTATTTCACAGAGAGACACAGCGAGAGAGGGAACACAAGCAGGGGGAGGGGGAAGAGGGAGAAGCAGGCCCCCCGCTGAGCAGGGAGCCTGATGCGGGGCTCGATCCCAGGACCCCGGGATCATGACCTGAGCCAAAGGCTGACGCCTAATGACTGAGCCACCCAAGCAGCCCTATCCCTGAATTCTTAACCTTTATTTCTGAGAACAAGATGCTCTCTTATAACCCAAACACCACAAACACAACCAAGTTGTGCGACCTGGTAATGGTAACATCATTTAACACATAGACGCAGTCAGTGTTCCCAGGAGCTACCAGAGTGGCCTTTTTTGTTTCTTAAAAATGGAAGATGTAGTCCGGGATCCTATGTTCTCTTTGGTTTTCACGTCTTTCCAGTCCTTTAATACAGAAAAGCATTCCTGGTTCTTGTTTTACAGGACATTGACGTTTTTAAAGAGTCCAAACCCATATTCTCGTAAAATGCCCCGGAAGCTCTTCTGATTGTTTCCAGCAATTTGGCAGGAATACCACCTGGGCCGTGTTGTGTGTTTTCCGTCGCATCGCTTCTGTGTGTCCCGTTACTGGCATGCTCAGTGTGGTCACCTGCCTCAGCAGGGCCTGCTGGTCTCTCCGCTGTCAAGTGCCATCCCCCCCCGCCCCTGCCCCCGCCCCGTGGCTTGGCACGTGTAGCTTGCTCGGGATCAGAGAGAAGGCGGTGGGGTCAGGAGTCAGGCCTGGGTCTGAATGGCTCCAGATCCTGATTCTTCACCACATTGCCCCTTTGTTCTTGAAAGCACTGTTTTTAATGGTCTGGTAACAGGCCACCTATCAAGTGGAAGTACCACACTTTATATCCCTGTTCTCCTATTACATATTCAGTGGTGCTTTCAGTTTCCCCTTGTACATTTCTGTGAATACATTTTGGTTCTTGTTTCAATTTCCTTACACATCAGAGGTCAGATTTTGGTCTCTTTCCCCTGTTGGCTTTTCCCGCTAAACTGCTTTCCCTGTGCCTTGTGTATCTTAGGGAGACGTCTGACCCAAGTGCAATTCCCCGGCTCAGTTAGAGTCCCTGTGCTTGGGGTAGTGGTATGTGAGTGGTTCCTTCAATATGATGCACGTGTCTTTGGCTCATGTGCCAGTGTCCGCGTGACCAGCCGTTAGAAGACCAGCCTGTTGTGAGCCATTATTTTCAAATCCTTTGAGTGAGGTGGTGTTACCTATCTATCCACATTTTCAGATGAGGAACGGAGACTTAGAATCTAGTGGAGTCAGGAGTCAAACCTGATTGCATCCACCTCCGGAGCATCGATTCTTTCTGCTGTACCCTTCCCTGGAAGCTGCTTCTGCTCCCACAGAGGCTGGTGAGCGTGGAGGGCCAGGTGGAGGCCAGTTCTCAGCCCAGCTCTGGTTCTGCCCCCGGAGCTCCACCAGGGCTGAGTCTGCCAAGTGCAGGCTGCGCCATGGGGGGCTTTTGGGGGCAGCTGGGGGCAAGCTCTGTGTCTAAGGGGAGAGCCAGCTCCACCAGTGATGGGGAAGGATGGTACCTTCCCTATGCTGAACCTTCCGATAGTCCAGGCACTTTGCTGGAAACATTCTCAACCTTGTCTGTCGTCCTCACAGCAGCCCTGCAAAGCTGGGGCTCTTGGCTGTCCCTGGTGTCCTGACAAGGGGCCTGCCCCGCCTGTAGAGCCGTCTGGTGCTCGTCTGTAGTTCCTCCGGGGCTCCTCGGAGCTGGGCCCTTGCCGTGTCCTCTGAGCTCCCGCCCATTTGCCAGCCCTGCCTCTGCTTTCTCTGGGCGCTGTGTGGAGGCACCATGTGAGCTTGCATCGGGGTCTGGTTAGGGGTAATGTGGTTAATAACACAATATCATAGGATAATATCGTACATATTGTCAGGCCCTGGGCCCTGACAGCGGCAGCAGATGTGCCGCCGGGTGCTGGTATGGATTGCCTGGCCAGCCGTCTGTCTGGAACCGACTGCGTGTCTCCTCTGCATGTGTCCATTCTCGCCTGGGGTAGTTCCCTTGTGAGGCTTATTTTTTTATCCGTCACCTAACCGGAGGCTACACTTTTATCTTTCCCTCCCTGTGGACTTGTTTCTGGTGGATAGAGGCAGAAGAGAGGCAAAAACCTGAGCAGGCAGGCCACCGGAGTCCTGGCGGTAAAAAGGGAAAAAAGAGAGAAAAGGATATAGGGAGAGAGAGAGATGGATAACTCAATCAAGAGAGACGGTGTTCCTTTAGCAAGACTTCTGCAGCAGCCCCCTGAATACCTGTGCAAATGTCCCCCCTTCTCGTGTGTTCCCCGTTACCCTGCTTTATCCTCAGACAAGTCCTGACATACACTGAATCTCGATTTGCAGCCAAAGTGATTATCCACCAGACACTTAGTGTCTTAGAAGACATCGTGGAGAATATCTCCGGGGAGTCCACCAAGTCCCGGCAGATCTGCTACCAGTCGCTGCAGGAATCCGTGCAGGTCTCCCTGGCCCTCTTTCCAGCTTTTATCCATCAGTCAGGTAGGAGCTGGCCGCAGGCCCCCTGGTGGCGGGAGCGGAAGAGTCCAGAGGGACTGCTAGGCTCTGTAGAGCACACCGAGCGGGCGGGCGCGGTGTGGCCTTGAGGCTGAAGGCAGAGCGCGGGGACGGTTATGGGGAGTCTGGGGCTAAGGCCCCCCGGAACCCTCACCTGGGCCTTGCACCTGTGTCGTGTGGCCCGGAGTCACTTGGGGCATCTTGCCTCATGCGCTTCTAAGTCTTTGCCTTCTCCCAGTGCGGAATGTCAGAGGATGAGGTGATGGGGTCATTGTACAGGAGAGGAAAGAGAATTTTTCCCATGGGTGCTGCTTATTTCCTTCGATGGCAAGGTGGCTTTTGCTGACATGGTTCCCGCCCTCTGTCAGTGCCACTGATAGAGGCTCTCTGACTCTCTGGATGCATGGGGCCTGGCTCTCCTGAGAGCACTTAATGTAGTCTTGTCAGTCACGAGGGAAGTGTCGGAGCTTGCTAGTTAGCACACGTTCCCTGATTGCCTCTTGTAAGCAGCGTGTGTGAGGTTAGAGCCAAAACATGCTGTACGAGATGATTGTCTAGATCTGCAAGTAGAACCAGATTAAATGTAACCAATATTTTCTGCAAATAATCCCTTTAATGGGCCAGGGCCATGCAGCCTGACTACACCCTCATTATCCACTTTCAGCCACTTAACCCCTGACCCAAGTGCAGGGATTAGTGGTCAGAGAGAGAAATGACAAGAGCACTCAGGTGTTGACCCAATTGAATCATCCATCAGTGTGAGCACAAAATGATCCATCTGCAGTGAGAATTCAGCATTGCTGGATGCTTGGTGGTGAAGGCAGCTGCCCTGTGACCTTCACTTCTTCTAGTGAGCCGTCGTCAGCCAGAGGTTCACGACGCCAGAGCTGTTTTCTCGGCATGTCCCTAATGGTTTCCCACTTTCCATCGTGGGCTCTGGGGGCGTTGGGGAAACTTCTTCCAGCAGGAAGCCTTCAGGCGAGATGGTAGTGCATCTTGCAAAAGGAAGGCCATCAAACCGAGGGGGCTTCCACTTATCCCTGTGTGCAACTTCTGACCATTTGCTGTGTGCCTTCATTTAGATGTGACCGATGAGATGCTGAGCTTCTTCCTCACTCTGTTTCGAGGCCTTAGAGTACAGATGGGCGTGCCTTTCACGGAGCAGATCATACAGACTTTCCTCAACATGTTTACCAGGTAACCGCAGACCTGCTGTTCGCCGTGGCTTCCAGACTCCCAAGGGAGGACTAGTGGGGCTGGGCTAAAGAGCCTGGGACTTTCTGCTCCTTTTCTTCACGTGCCACAAGGGTTGGTTTTCATGCGGGCCCCCAGAGAAACATTTCCTTGGCTACCGCGTGCTTCCCCGTGTCTGCAGAGAACAGTTGGCCGAGAGCATCCTCCACGAAGGCAGCACTGGATGCCGGGTGGTGGAGAAGTTCCTGAAGATCCTTCAGGTGGTGGTCCAGGAGCCTGGCCAGGTGTTCAAGCCTTTCCTCCCCAGCATCATCGCCCTGTGCATGGAGCAGGTGTATCCCATCATTGCCGAGGTACGAGGGGTTGGGCCGGTCCCGTGCTGCCTCCTGTCTGCCCCGGGGAGGGAATTAGTGAAGAAAAGGCATTGTGTTTTAAAGCTAATTTGCTAGTTGTTTTTTTTTCGTAAGATATTTTTTCCAAGAAAGAAGGCCTTTAGCTTGGTCCAGTCTTTTTATATTGGTTGAATTAATCAGAACTAGTCTAGTGAAAGCATAGCAAGGTTGGTTGGTGAGTAAGAGCCGTCTGCCATGGCAAACAATTTATAATTTTAGGTGAATATGCGGTTTTCTCCAGTGAACATTGTAACAAATGTACTTTCCTAGTAAGAACTTCCACTGATCTCAAGGATATAAGGCTAGTTCTTGGAACCGTGCAAAGGTTTTATTGTTAAAGGAACGCTTTTAGTCCTTAGAAAACAGACGTTCAGCGTGACAAGATCCAGAATAAGTGTGGATTTAACTACATTTTATGTGATAGTTAAATAAGAGCTAACCTTTTTAAGTGTCCTAACTAAGGCTTAAATAAGTCAGTTGCTTTGCATCATTAAACACATTTGGGTCCTGTAAGGATTCCTGCCATGGGGGCTCATGCCCTCTGGTCCCAATTTAATTTAGTCAAGACTGAATTAAATACATCTGGACCTTACAGTTTTGAATTCTCCAGAGACATCTGGAATACTGTAACCTGGCATGCCCTCCAGTGATTTGGAGATTTTCGGTTCAGTTAGAAAATACTGCTGAGCCTGCCTCCCTCCCCGCCCCTTCCCCGAATCCTGCAGCCAGTGACAGAGGAGACAGGCCCAGGGAGCAGTTAGCCCCGTACGCTGCCTCCCCCTGGAGGTCTTCTGCCGTTGCTTTCTGTGGCTCTAGGTGCTCTTTAAACTCCTGCTCCATAGAGGGCAGAACTGCTTTTAAAGCTTCTTACTTGTTTTGCATAATAAGATCAACAGGTTAGCTGGGACAGCCTTTTTTATCCTGGGAAAAGGAACATGACCAAGAAGATGTAACAGGTCACATCAGCTGCTTTCTAAATAGGAAACCCATATTCCTAATTGTTCTGCCATTTGGTAGCCTTTTTTTCCTGCCTGAGAGGGCTGAGTGCTTCTGTCAGAAAAAGGGCCCCTCGGAGTGCCTGGCTGGCTCAGTCGGTAGAATGTGACTCGTAATCTTGGGGTTGTGGGTTCAAGCCCCACGGTGGGTGTAGAGATTACATAAAAATAAAATCTTTAAGAAAAAAAATTTGTTAAAGAAAAGAAGAATAAAGGGCCCTTGGCCCTGGCCTGGGCATTGTGTCTCTGTGGAAGTACGCCTGGTTTGAACTGCCGGCCTGAGGGCGACTTGACCAGACGAGAGTGTGGGTGGGACACCGACACTCTGCTTGCTGGTAGCAGGCATTGTTTAGGTCCCTCTGTTGCTCTGAGCCACAGGAAGGGCAGGTGTGAGGGTCTGTGTGTCTCCGCAGCGCCCCTCCCCTGATGTGAAGGCTGAGCTGTTTGAGCTCCTTTTCCGGACGCTCCATCACAACTGGAGGTACTTCTTCAAGTCCACTGTCCTGGCCAGTGTGCAGAGGGGGATCGCTGAGGAGCAGATGGAGAATGAGCCTCAGTTCAGTGCCATCATGCAGGTAATGTGCAGCAAGAGCCCATGAGGCTGCCACATGATCCCAGGACAGAGGGCCTCATTCTGGACACCACCTGGGTCCCTCAGCTATCTGTCCCTTGGTTTGCTTCCCTGGCATACGGGGAGGCCATGTAGTCTCTGGTCAGAGCTCAGTGCTGCCTCTTAGTATCTAGGAAGTTAGTTAAGTTCTTGGGGGTTCAGTCTCTTCATCTGTAAAGTGGGGAGAATGCTGCCTATTTCGTGGGTCGAGGGTGAGGCTGACTGGGTTAGCTTCTGCCCAGCTGCTGATGTGTGGGGGTGCTGGGTAAGTACCTGTCTGTATGCCTTGTAGCGGCGCGCCCCCAGTGTGAGGGGCTGTAGCACGTGGAGGCCCCCTTAACTGGAAGCTGAGTGGAGTCTCTTGGGGAGGGGCCCAGGGATCTGCATCTTGTAAAGATCGTTCCGGCTCATACCATCCTGGGAGAGTGCTGCCCTGTGAGCGGACTCCCTGGGGGGCTGACCGCACCCTGCTGTAGAGGCCGCGGCGCCTCCCCTTGCTGGGGGTGCCTGGGCTGCCTTGTGGCTACTGTCCACTGCTGTCCTTCCACACTTCATGGTAGAACTTTTTATTCTGAGCCCAGGTCCAAGTAGAGGGTTTCCTTTTTGTTTGTTTGTTTTTGTTTCCAGTGCAAGTTTTTCTCCTTGGGGTAGCCAGAGGGATTCTGCCTTCCTCCCTTGAGCTCCGCGTCAGCACGCACACGTGCAGTCCCTGTGCGGAGATGCTTCTCTGGATGAGCACACGCCCTGCCCCTGGCCTCTCGCTGCCCTTCTGTCTCCAGCGTGGCCTTGGGTGTGGAATATTCAGTGTTTGCTCTCCTACCCCCCACGTCAACCTTGCTTCTAAGCTTTCTTGGGCAGATGGGTACCTGGCCCTCTACTAGGCTGGTGAAAGCCACTTTGGAAAACAGCTTCACGGTTTGGCAGTTTCTTACAAAGTTGAGCATGTAGTTACTACCCGACGAACCACTTGTAAGCATTTTACCTAAGCTAAATGAAAACATATTCATGCCACATGTCCACAGGTGTTTATAGTGGCTTTTTTCATAATTGCCCAATCTGGAAATAATCCAGATATGCATCAGCTGGTGAATGGATAAACCAAGACACATGTATATAAGGGACTGCTACTTGATGGTAAAAAGGAACATATTCTGACACTGAGACCAACGTAAATGACTTCCAAATGGTTATGCTGGGTGAGAAACCAGACCCCAAGGGCTCCAGACCGTATGATTTCCACTCCATCATGTAATGTTCTGGAAAAGGCAAAAACAGAGGGACAGAGAAGGGGTAGGGGGAGAAGACTGACTGCAAAGGGGACACGAGGGACCTTTTTGGGGAGATGGAAGTGTTGTGTCTTGATTGTCATGGTGGTTAGATGACCATGTGTTGGTCAGAATTACACAAGGGTGAACCCCAAAAGGGTGAGTTTTACTCAGTGTCACACTTGAGTAAACACAACTTAAAAAAATAAAACCATCGGGCATCATGGAGATCCCATTGCTGCAGCAGGCATTATGAGACCCCTCATAGCTCAGGGGCCCGGGGACAGAAGGACAGAGCAGGCAGCAGCTTGTTGGGAGTGGGGGCTTGCACATCACTGGCTTGGGGTTTTTTGGCAGGGGAGGGGTGTTATTTTTTGCTTTAGCACTTGTAACTTTGACAGCCCAGAAACTGCAAAGGAGTTTAAAAATTTGCTGTTGCTTAGGCCCAAGGCAGAGGCAGCCAGTTTGAAGGAGCCTCCCAGGATTTATGGTTTGTAAGAGTTGGGACGCCAGGGAGAGGGTATGTGGCTGACAGAGGGTGAGGGGTTGGTTTGAGGGGAGGCAGGAGGCAGGCTTCAGAGTCTGCTGGGTTTGCTGAGGTTTTGACTAGAGTCACTTGACTAGCTTCTCGCTTCAAAGGCGGAATCCATGAAGGGATCCAGAGGTTTATTACAAAAGGTCAAGGTGAGACCCACATGTGAAGTGAGGCCCAGTGGGGAGGACTTCAGAGCTACGACTACTCAGGAACATTTCAAGATCTGACCAGAAGACTCAAGGCCGTGGATACCCTCATCCTGCCATGGACATGAGGAACCACTTGCAGAGTGCTGGTTCTTTTGGTGTGGGGTGGGGGCCCTAGGAGGGCCAGGTCTGAGGTGCTTTAAATGCTGCTCATAACATAGTGGTCTTATTCCCTAGGCTTTTGGACAGTCCTTTCTCCAGCCTGACATCCACCTATTTAAACAAAATCTCTTCTACTTGGAAACTCTCAACACCAAGCAGAAGCTCTACCACAAGGTCAGCGCCCCCTCTCAGAAAGGGTCCCTCCTCCGAGGCGTCAGTGGGGCGGGCGGAGTGCCACCCTTCTGGGGCAGCAGCTGGGGCACGTGGCAGGAAGTGGGCTGGGATGCAGACGGGCCCCGGGGGCAGAGTGAGCCCTCGTGCCGTCGCTCACCCCGGCCTCTCTGTCTGCAGAAGATCTTCCGGACCACCATGCTGTTTCAGTTTGTGAACGTGCTGCTGCAGGTCCTGGTTCACAAGTCCCACGACCTTCTGCAGGAGGAGATCGGCATTGCCATTTACAACATGGCTTCTGTGGACTTTGATGGCTTCTTTGCAGCCTTCCTCCCAGAGTTTCTGACCAGCTGTGACGGCGTGGATGCCAACCAGAAAAATGTGCTGGGGCGGAATTTCAAGATGGATCGGGTGAGGAGAGGGAGGCCAGGCTACGGGGAGGGCAGGCGTGGGCTCTCACCCTGGCACCTGCTCAGGGAGGAAGGGGCAGGCCACTTCCGTGTGTGGTCTGTGCCCACTAGTGGCTCCTGAACAACTTGGTGCTGTGGCTGGACGCGGGGGGGTCCCGCCTCCCCACGGTGGGGGCTCCTGCAGCCAACGTGTTCTTCGTCTCCGCTGTCGGGCCCCAGCCCCGGCCCCAGCAGTCTGTCTGATTGCCTCTGCACCCCATCGAGGACACCCATCCCCCTGGGTGCAGTCATCGTTTTCTCCCGGGTCCTGAGCCACTATAGCCCAAACTTGCAGATAGTCTGGGAAGACTGGCGCTCAAGAGCCACGTCTCGGAGTCCCCCCAGGGTTAGGGATGGGCCCCTGGGCTCTGCCCAGACCTCCTGGTTCAGCGTGGGCTGACCTGCTGTCCGCCCAGGGAACATGGCGGGAATGGGGTGGGGGCTGGGGTGGTGAAGGCACTGGATGCACACAGAGCCATTGTGGCCGGTGTGTCTGGGTCCCATGGCCCCCAGCTTTTCCTGTCCTGGGGTGTCCTGGCTGGACACTCACCTGCCCCTTTCCTCTCTCAGCCGTTAGGTCTCTGCACTTGCCTGCTAGGCCCTTCTTGGAACTCTTCCCGTGGAATGAGTCCGTTTCATCCTTCACCGCCTGACACGCGGCAGAATGAAACCTTTCTCCCTCATCCTCGTGGTGTCCCTGCCTTGCCTCCTGCGCTGGAGCAGCCGGCCGGCAGTCCCACTTCCATGTGCAGACCTACACAGGGCTCTTGCTGGAGCAAACTCTGCTCATTCCTTGCTTATCTCATCTGTGATATGCATCACGGTAGTTTTCTCTTAGACTCACTCAGTTCCTGTTTTCCTTTGTCTTGGACTCCTCCTTTCCTTGTTTTCCTTTGCCTTGCAATGTATCTTTCCTCGGGATCTGTCTTGTCTTCTCCTGAGCTTCTGGAAGCTCACTTCAGCCACTTGGGTAGTATTCCTTCTTGTTCCTTGAGGCCAAGTCCTAATATTTAACTCTCAGTTTCTAATGATGTCCTTATCAGTCAATGTCTTGATTGAGAAAGCGGTGGCCTTCCAAATCTAGTTCTGCATCTGTGCACCTGGGGGGCTTATTAAATATACAGAAACGTACTCTTGTGTTCCCCCCCACCCAGGACATTTGAATTTGGCATTTGGGAGCCACTGATGTAAAAGACACCCCTTTGGTTTGTTTTCTGGAGGATGAAATAAGTAAACAAACCTGCGCCTTCATTCATCTGTTTACCGTGTACCTGACACTGGCTGGCTCTTGGGCCCTGTGTAGGGTGTTGGGGCTCCAGTCCCTCTCCCCGCCTTCAAAGGAGCCTTGCTGGGAAGACAGGCAGCATCGCCCTCTGTGGATGACACTGGGCCAAGCACTTCACATGCCCCGGCTCTTGGAAGCCTTCCAACAACCTTCCGAAGTGTAGATCCTGTTACTAATCCCATTTCACAGATGAACCGAGGCCCAGCAAGCTCAGCTGGGAGTTGGCAGTTAGAGAACTTGGGAATGCTAGAGCCAGGAAGCAGGATTCCTGGCTGGATGCCGGGGTTGCAGAGCCAGCGTGCACGGCCCACACGCGGGGTGAGCCAAGGGCACTTGGAGAGTGGGGAGCAGAGGTGCCCGCCTCACCAGCTGGGGCCTCTTTGGCAGAGGCAGGCTTTGAGGTGAGTTTGAAGAGGAGAGGTTAGCCAGGTGAAGGGCGGGTGGGCCGAGGCGCACCGCAGAGCCCTGCTAGCGGGCTTCCAGAAGGTACTGCCGTGGCACCGCCAGCCACGTGGGGTCCCACTGGCTCCGTGGCAGGCACCGTTGATGTTACTCTACATTTGGACCTGCAGTGTGGCACCCAGTGATCCCGGTCTAAGCACGAGGAGGCGGACCTCGGGTGGTCTTGCTGGGTTATGGTAGAGTTGGGGGTTCCAGCTGCGAGGGGTCCTCTCCATTGGTGTCTGCGGCCTGTGGGCTCCTGTGGGGGTGTCCCTCCTGATCGGGAGGGCCTGCCCGGAGCCCGGGGTGGGGGAGGAGTCTATGGCTGCGGCTCGGCCGGCTGGGGTGAAGAAGAGGTGTGCGTTGGCAGACATACCTGTGTTCACGGGCAAGTCCAGTCTGGATCCCCTTCCCTTCTTTCCGTGGGACCTGGGGCAAGTTTCGGAATCTCTCTGTGCTTCACTTTCTTCACCCTTCACACGGGGGCACTAACGAAACCTGCACCGCGGGCTCGTGGTGAAGGTGGAGTGACTTAGCATCTGGATTGCTTGGGGCAGGGGCTGGCCTGTGGTGGGCTCCCACAGGGCCTTGGCTGACACGTGGTGCATGATGGGTGTAGATATTCTGACTATCATAAAGCTTTTGCAGACTTCTGAGGCCCACCCCAGGATCGAAGTAGCTCGGGTGGGGTTGGGGGGTGATTTGGGGTGTTGGGTGGGACTGGGCTGCATCTGTGCCCCTGCCTTCCAGGACCTGCCCTCGTTCACCCAGAACGTGCACAGGCTGGTCAACGACCTGCGTTACTACAGACTCTGCAATGACAGCCTGCCCCCCGGCACCGTGAAGCTCTAGCACGGCCTGCTTACCGCGAGCTCCGGCTGTCACCCGCCTCCCCTCCGCCCTCTGCCACGGACGGCGCCCGGACAGGCCTCGGCCGCTCCCTGGATTCTCGCACCCTGGACGGCGGTGCCTGCCCCCCGCCCCTCTCCACGCTTCTCTCCTGCTGCCCACCCAGCCGAACGGGCTGCAGGGTGCATCTTAGCGCTGGTTGGAGTGCCCAGGGCATCGGGAGCGGGCGGAGGGTCGTGCAACCAGGTTCCAGGGAGGCCCCAGGGAATCCTGCGGGCTGGTCCGCGCCGTGCCCATGGACGTCAGCCACGAGGCAGAAACGCCAAGGACCGCTCATGACAGTGCCACCTTCTCACCATTCCGCCCCCGGCCCAGCCGGCCCTGGAGAGACTTGATGCTGGAACTGTTTTGGCACTTCTGTCAAGCCTCTCCTGCCCTCCCCTCTGATTGCCTTGAAGTCTCTGCTCTTCGTCAGAGATTTGCAGACTTGTGGGTTTTTTTGTTCTTGTTTTCTCATCATTCCATTGTGATACTAAGAAGCTTAATGAAAAAATAAAATGCTTATGTTGTTGTTATATAAACCCTAGTCAGGGAGCGTCTTTCCACTCAGCCCCCCCGCCCCAGCCATGTGCAGGTGGAGGGCCATCCTGGTGGGGAGCAGGGCAGCGAGGTCGGGGCCTGCGGCGGGGCCCCGGGAGAGCACCGCAGAGGAGGGCCAGCTTGGGTGGGGTCTCCTAGACAGCCGCTCCGTTAAGCTGCGGGAAGACACAGGGCCCAGGCTCACCTGGCGGTGCGGGTGGGTGTGGAGCCCAGGTGCGGTCTGCCACCCCTCCTCCTAGAGAATGGATCCTTCCCGAGAGACCCAGCCAGGCATTGCCCGTCGGTGGACCGAAGTCTCGCTGGAGGTCAGCAGCCGGGTAGAGGGCTGAGTGGGTGGCGGGTGTGAGAGGAGAGGTTGCGCAGGAGAGGGCACTCGGGGCTCAGTGGTGTGTCTGAGAGCTGGGCCTGGTCAGCCATTCGTGTGTGGCAGTGGTGCTTGTCCTGAGGTTGCTGGGATGATGCATCGGCAGCTCCTCCTGCCTTAAGGGTCCCGGTGACCAGACTGACAGGACTAGGCTAGATTCTTCTGTTTTGTTTTAAGATTTTATTTTTAAGTGATCTCTACGCCCAACGTGGGGCTCAAACCTACAACGCTGAGATCAAAAGTCGCACGCTCCACTGACTGAGCCAGCCAGGCACCCCTGGACGAGGCTAGATTGTCATGTGGAATCCCAGCCCTGGCTGCAAGAGGCTTGCTCACCTGCAGTGAGGGTGGCCACTGGCTCGGTGGTAGAACTGGAGAGGAAGGAGTTGGGGGGGCTGATGGCTTCTGCTTCTGAGGCCTTTATTAGCATCACTGTGGGGGGCTGGGGGGGCAGGGGTACCTGGGCTGTGTGTGCGCGCGCGTGTCAATCACAGCCTCCCAGCTGCAGCTAGCCCCACTTGAGAGTTCGGAGAAGAGGAAATTGAAACTCCAGTCGCTCTTTTGCAGAAAGGAATTAACATCCGATTATTCTTGGGCTATAAATACCATGTCACCTGCCTGTGAGGGAAGGCTTGAGTGTGGTCTACGCCTGAGCCGGTGAAAGGGCTTTTTGAATGCCGGCAGATGGAAGGGCGATGGGATCTGTCGCCTGAGAGCTGGGACGGAACTCGAGGAGGCAGGATTTGGGGTGGTAGGGGAAAGGCTGCAGGGAATAAGGTGGGCCCAGCAGTTTTGTTTCTAGACTGCTGGGCATGGCTCCAGCTGTGTGGGTTGTAGTGAGCTCCCCATTCTTGGAGGTGTGCAAGCAGAGGCTGGGTGACCTGCAGAAAGGGTCTGCTCCCCTGTGCTCCCCTGACTCATCCCTCTTGTCTGCAGTGTGCACCGCCCCACCCACCTGCAGGGCCCGGCACAGAGCAGGCCTTAAGGAGTGTGGCTGGAATTGGGTGTCTTCTCAGGCCCTTGACAAACCCAGAGACTGCATTCTGAGGGAGGGGCCAGGGAGAGGCCCCAGCGAGCCTTTAGTCAGTCTTGGCCATGGACTGACAATGCCGAGGATTTCACCGAGTGGGCCGCTTGCTCTGCCGCCTTTTGAGTGCAGGGAGGCTGTCACGATGGTCTGTCCCCATCAGTGACATCCATCCGAGGCATAGCCACTGGCTCTGGGATGGTGTCTGATGAAACACTTCCAACTTCCAACCTTTTCCTCCACTTGTCTGCCATCGGCCTCACGCCACAGAGGGTCAACTTTCTTTTCCATAGCCTTTTTTATTTCTTCCTGACTAAAATATTGTAGTGAAAAATGCAGAAAGCTAAAAAGGTCATCTAATCCTACTGCTCAGAGAAAACCACTGTTAATATTTTGGTGAATTTCCTTTCCTAAATACGTACAAACATATATGGTTTTGCTCTTCTTTTTCCTTTTTTTCATTGTAAAATTGAGCTCGTGTTGTTTTGCAGGCTCTTTTATTCATTATCACGCTGTGACCGTTTCCGTGTTACTGTTCTAGAACGTGATTTTTAATGGCGGAGGGCATTCCAGGGACATGCTTTGTTTACAGTTTTTCTGATTGCAAACGTTTGCTGCTGCAGCGAGCATCAGTGCACACGAATCTCCGTGCTTGTGTGATGGTCTCCACGGGTCCTCGTCCTCCATGTGGAGGTGACGGCACACATGTTCTCGAGGCTTCTGATGGATCCTGCTAGGCCTGATTTCTCTTCTGAAGAAGCTTAAGTTAGACTTCAGAGTTGCAAAATGTCTGAGCTTGTAAGGCTCCGCTGAGATCATTTGACCAAATCAGCCCCTGCTTTTTGTGGATCTTGGGGACTCTCCTGCCCACTTCTCAGCGCCACCGTTATCCCCTAGTGACGTCTCCGCAGGGAGGCTGGCTGGGACCAGGGAGAAGAGAGGTGCTGATGGTTCTAGTTGACTCCCGGGGCCTTGACAGGAACCCTGATTGACGACAGTGAATTTAACAAACATTATTTCCGGAATCCCTGTCTAAGCCCGGTGCTGGGTTGCAAGTGAAAGACTTAGAGGCTAATAAGGCAGCTGGTGCCTGCCAGGACTTGCAGGCCCGTGAGGAGACGGACAGACAGCTTGTTGCCGAGAGGTGTGCTAAGTGCAGTGATGGGGGTTGGGGGCCCAGGAAACGGATGGAGAGCCGAGGATCAGGGGGGCCTCACTGAGGGTGACGACCACCGAGCCGGTTCCTGGAGGGTGTGGAGGAGCTCCCCGGTGGGCAAACGGGTGTGGACACAGGGGCGATGGGGTCTGAAGGTGGGCCGGCGGGCTGGAGCTGCCTGGAGACTTTGCAAATTGCCAAATTGTCATGAAGCTTTGATGGGGAAATGGGTGGGGCACGCGCTTCCTTTCAGCTTCAGGTGCAGCCCCCTGGTTCATCGGAGGGCCCACCGTGGTCACCAGCCCGGAGACACACAGCTGATGACGGGCAGCGTCCTGTTCTGTGCGGCGAGCACGTGGGAGGATGTGGCCTAACGGTGCTGGGGCGTCTCCGGGACCTGCTCGGGGCAAAGCAGAGGTCTTCCCTGACCGCCTCTCAGGAGCGCCCCTGAATCGCCTTGACTGCCCCACGGCACCTGTGGTGGCCACACCCACAGGAAGGCAGGGGTGGGGCTCGGCCCACAGCAGGTGCCCCAAAATGTCGAGTGCCTGAGGGTTTTCCAGATTCATCCAAATGGGTTTCTCCTCACACGAGGAAGTCTGGAGTCACTCTAATTTTTAACATAACGAAGCTACGTTCTCGGTGTCTGCTTCCAACGCCAAGCCTTACTTTTCAGGGCTCCTCAGGGAAAAGCCCTCGAGTGAAGAGCTCTTCAGTGAAGGATTTCTTTAGCTCAAGGGCTCCCCTTTCCGCTCTTCCCTGCTTGCATCATTGGAAACATCTGTAGAAATCCATGTTAATTAATTGGCTCCAGCCTTGGAGTGGGTGGGATGGCATGGTGGGATAGCATGGTCATGCGGCCTGCTGGGTTAGGCCTGAAGCTGGCTCTGAGCCCCGGTGACCCTGAAGGGCACTGGGAGCTCTTGCTGAGTCCACGTTGGGTGCCTTCCCCGGGGTGGGCTGGGGGTGGGCTGAAAAATGATTGAAGTGAAACATAGACCAGACACAGGTGGGCATTTTGGCAACGGGTAGATTTTAAAAATAAGCCGGGGTGGCTCAGTCGATTAAGCATCTAACTCTTGGTTTCGGCTCAGGTCATGATCTCATGGGCTGTGGGATCGAGTCCCGCCTCAGGTCCGTGCGCAGCACGGAGTCTCCTTGGGATTCTCTTTCTCCTCTCCCTCTGCCCCTCCCCCGCTCACGTGCATGCGCGTGCTTTCTCTCTCAAATAAATCTTTAAAAAAATAAAAATAAGCTTCATTATAGAAATAATACATGTTCCTTGGAGATAAACAACACTAGCTGCACACACACACACACACGCACACACCCCTTTGGGTGAGCTGTGTGGTCCCTAGAGACCCCAGCTCTCTCTGGCTATTTCAGCCTAAGCCACGGCGGGCCAGTTAGGTGGAAGTGGCCTCTGGAACACTGTGGGCAGTTAATCTGGGACCTAGTTTCTCAGACTCACATTGGTGTCTGCAGCTAGCTGGGGCCTGAGACCAGAGGCTCATCCAAAGGTGCGTCTTCTCCCTGAAGTCAAGAGAGAGAACCACGGTCATTCTTGGAGCCACTGAGGAAGACATAATCCGCATTTTGCAGAGGTGGAGCCTGAGGCCCAGAGGCTCCAGTAGGTCCGCGTCCTGCCTCTTCCCCACCTGTGTTCCCATGCGGGAGCCGATGACTCCTGAGCTCCCCAGGAGTGGCGGCGACCTTGCTTCCAGCCTCGGAAGGACACTCAAGTAGGAGTGATTGAGACTCCAGAGAAAGATGGGCAGACCTTCTCAATCTTCGCTGCTGAGCCTGCCTGGGGAGGTGCCGGGAGCCCAGAGGAAGCTGTGGGGGTTTTATTATGTTAATGATCTGTGTTGTGGCATTTCCAAAAATGGTTCCCACCTCCTCCATGCGGGAAGAGACAGGAGGAGACAGGCTGTCACTGCCTCCCAGATGCAGCCGGCTTTGCCTTTGGCAGGTGCCCACCCACCCCCTTAGGATTCCCTGCCTTCAGAGCAAAAGCTTACAGATGAGAAAATCGAGGTTCAGAGAGGGTGGTGACTTGCCCAAGGCCACACAGCACATCACTGGCAAAGCTGGGGTCCACTTTCAGGTCTATAGGGCTCGAGTCTGGAGAATTCCAAATCCTGCTCTGTTCCCTGCCAGAGGCACTATGGCTACTTTACTGTTTTCTGCCTTGTGACAGACCTGAGTTGAGGCACTCTGCAGGTGGCGCCTGAGCTTTTTGAAGAACAGGGAGCTGAGAGCTTGGAGTCTGGGTCCCCGTGGTGGGTCCTGGATTCACTGTGCCTGCCCATCCCGTCCCCTTCCCTTTCTGGGCCCTATCTCTTCTCGAGGTGCGGTGGGCAGTCAAGCCAGTGGGCGTGAGGAGGGGGCCTGCTTCCTGGCGCACGGTAAGGTGGGACTCCATAGCCAGGGG